ACTACTACTACTACGACTACTACGACTACTACTACTACTAATAATAATAATAAGAATAATACTACTACTACTACGACTACTACTACTACTGCTACTACTACTACTACTACCACGACGACGACTACTACTACTACTACTACTATACTACTACTACTACTACTACTACTACCACTACTACTACTACTACTACTACTACTACTACTACTACTACGAGTGCAACTACGACTACGACTACGACGACTACTACTACTACTACTACTATTACTACTACTACTACTACTACTACTACTACTACTACTACTACTACTACTACGACTGCCAGTACTACTACTACTACTACTACTACTACTACTACTACTGCTACGACTACCACTACTACAACTATTTGTTGTACTACTAGTACTGGTATGACTACCAATTATACTACTACCACTACTTCTACTACCACTACTCCTACTACTACTACTACTACTACTACTACTACTACTACTACTACTACTACTACCACTACTACTACTACTACCGTTGCTGCTGCGACTGCTGCTACTGCTGCTGCTACTGCTACTGCTACTGCCACGACTGCTACTACTAGTACTACTACAACTACTACGAAGACTACTACTACTACTACTACTACTACTACTACTAATACTACTACTACTAGTACTACTAATACTACGACTACGACTACTACTACTAGTGCTATGACTATTACTACTACGACTACTACTACTACTACTACTAATACTACTACTACTACTACTACTACTACTACTACTACTACTACTACTACGATTACCACTACTACTGCTGCTAGTACCACTACAACTACAACAACTACTACAACAACAAATGCTACTTCTACTACGACTACGACTACGACTACGACTACGACTACGATTACGACTACTACTACGACTACGACTACGACGACTACTACTACTACTACTATTACTACTACTACTAATATTACTACTACTACTACTACTATTACTACTACTACTACTACTTTTACTACTACTCCTACTCCTACTCCTACTACTACTACTGCTACTACTACTACTACTACTACTACTACTACTACCCCCACTACGACTACGACTACGACTACGACTACGACTACGACTACGACCATGCCTACGACTGCGACTACGACTACCGACGACTACTACTATTACTACTGCTGCTGCTACTACTACTACTACTACTACTACTACTACTACTACTACTACTTGTTACCACCGCAAGTACTCCTGCAACTACGACCACTGCTGCTAATGCGATTGATATTGCGACTGGTGCTACTGCTGCTACGACTACTGCTATTACTACTAATGCTAGTACCAGGAGGGCGAATGAGGAAGGCAGAAAACGATCATCGAGATATAGGGGAATATTAAACCGATTATGCGCTTCACAACAATAGATGTGCCGCACAACGTGCATTTTTTCGCGCGCTGGCCACCAGCGAGATCCTGCGCGCAACCACCCGCGGGAGACCCCCCCAGCGGGGAACTGGACAAGTCGCCCCGTGGACACCCCCCATGGAAAACCCATCCTGAAGTATTTTCTACATCGAATAGACATGTGTATAGGTAATGCTGATACTACGATGGCGAGTCTTACCCCTGATCATTTGTCAACACTTCACTTCCCGGAGGCATGCTAAAGATCAAGAGCCCAAGACATATCCCGAATGCAAGGCCTTATGCTGTTTAGGCATGATCGGCCTTCAAGAAGTTGACCAGGCAAACGTTTGAGGAGTGATCCGAAGGCGTTGTACAACGCGCTTAGAATTCCCACCCTCGGCCTGAAGTCACACGTGAAGGCTGCCATGTTCGTACGGCAAGATTCAAGCAACGGAGTCCTAGACTGTAATTTGTGACAGCACGAACACACTGTTGGCTTGTCTCATTGTGAGAACAAGTGCTTGCAATGCCACGAAAAACAAAATAGCTAATCACTGCAGGGAGGGACTGTCAACTACGACGAGGTGGCTTCACAACCCCATGTATCAACAGCGAGCCGAGCAACCTTGGAAACCAGCTGTCGCAAACCGCCTATGCCCATTTGCATCCTGGCCGCACACGAGTGCCCGATCCTTCAACCAAGCATAAGTGTCGAACCAAGCTAAGGTGCAAGTAAACACAAGCGGAGGACACCGTAACTGACAATATGGCATGGCAGACTGCTGACTATCAAACCCAAACGCAAGCCACACACGTGGCCTGCGGCGAACCGGCCTGGCCGAAACCATTTTTATAAGGCAGGGGCAGAAGACTAATCCATTCCCCCCTTCTCTATAAGCGGTAGCAACGTAGTGCCGTGCACGACCGACGTAGCCTCGGAGTGCAGACGCACTGTGCCTGGACAGTTGGCGCGAGGGGCTGCGTCCCCACACCTCCTTGGACAGGACGTCGTTCGCTCGCTCGCGAAGCTGAGGACCCCTCCGGGGTCGGCTGCCCATGCCCGCTCACTGCTCAACAGCGGCTGGACAAGACGTCTCGTCTTCCCCTCCCCTCTCCCCGTGGGCACCGTCGACCACTGCCCGGGCACGCATCCCAGACGCAGCCGTGCACTCGTCTCGCCCGAGGCCGGTTCGGTCCCCTGGGGCAACTCTGCGACGCGCAGTCTCTGTGGGAAGAGGGTGGCAGCCCCAGGAGATTGCGCTAACGCACTGTGCAATCTCGGTCTGCGACGCACGCACACACACACAATGCTTCGGCCCTTCCTCGATCGAACGCACCATTCTTCGACTCTTCCTCGCTCTGGGGCGAGAGCGCAGAAACTCTTCGATCTGCGACGAACGCAACAGTTCTTCGATCTGCGGCGAGCGCAGTTCCTCTTCCCCGATCCCTCCTAGTTGCCCCCTCCTTCCGCCATCCATGCCCTGCCAAGCAGGGTCGCTCTCGGCTGCGAGGCCCTTCGAGAATCCTGCGCCGTCCACGGTGGGCGTCAGACTTGTGCGATGCGAGCCTGGGACGCGCACCGCCTATCGAACGCCCAGGGCGAAAGCGCAGAGCAAGGACGACAGCAGCTAACGTTCCCGTGCCAACAAAAGACATCGGACACGCTGGCAAACGAACGCACTCCCCCTCCTCCTCCTCCTCGTCCTCCTCCTGATCCTCCTCCTCCACCTCCTCCCTCCGCCAACCCACTAAACCTACAGCATCATGGTCGCACACTCGTGTGCAGTCCTCTGGCCGAGCACTGGTGCCGAGTCAAGCTAAAGGGTGCAAGCATACACAGCCGAATATGAGCACCACTGGCAATCTGCTCTGGCCCCACACTTCATGTGCGCCGTGCTACAGTCAAAACTTAACATGAGTCTTATACGTATACTCTACGGGTATGGAGAAGGCACGAACACATGTAAACCCATCCCTCACTACGTACTAGATGGAACTAACAACTCTTCATGCCGCAACGGACTGTCAACGCAGAGAGCCATGCTGCTGCGTCTTCGGCTAGACATCTCCCCTTCTACTTTGCCCTGTTCGATGGGTCCCGCCAATGGCCTGTACCGCGAATCACTACTTGATGGGCGCGTAACAGAAGACTATTGCATATAGGTCAAAATAGCTGGCCAGGCACCTTGGCCAGTCCGCTGTGCAATTGGAGGCCTGGGAGCAGGGGAACATTGCTGATCACTGGTCAAACTGCTCAGGGGCCGCGCCATGCCTGCTTGCCGCGATCATGCGGCCGACTCCCAAGACCCTGAACCCAAATACCATGACGCCTTACTTTGGCCTTCTACCACCGTCCGTCGACCTTCCGCTGGCTTCCGCCCGCGGACCCGCCGCTACTTCGTTTCCGCTGGCTTTCGCCGAAGGCGAGATGAGCCGGAAGGCGAGGCCCATTCGGGAACGCGCCCCACGGACCTCAGCTGAAGTGCTCGCGGAGTTCGGCGGTCGTCTAACCTCTCCTGATGCCCCTCCTCCCTTGGCGGCGCGCAGAGGGGGACAGGGCGGGGTGGTGGTGGTGGCTTTCTGAAAAGGCAGGGGGCTTCTCAGAAGCGATCGGCCTCTGCCTGGAGACTCCTTTAGCTGGGGGCCATCTCAGAGGGCCGCCCCGGCCGCTCTGTCCACTTCTGCGTGCCGCCGACGCTGCCCCGACCCTCCCACCTCGTGCCCACCTCCTGCCCTCCACGCCCAACTCGGCAAAGGGGCGCCCTGAGACACGAGACACCTCGTGCCCCGAAGGGAACGCTGCCCTTCACTTGGAGCCTGGGGCCAGCGGCCCTCTGGGCGCCTGGGGCCTGCGCAGCTCGTGGCTCAGGCCTCTCCTGGGGGGAGGAGAGAGGAGGACGATGAGGCGGAGTTGCGTGCTCGACCATGGAGTCCTTGCTGCCCATCGGCTGGCGGCTGTCTTCGGCAGCCTTCGGCGGTCCCTGGCAGTCTCTGGCGGTTCTCGGTGGTCTTCCCTGCGAAAAGTGGACGGTTGCGTTCAACGAAGAATCCATGATAGAACACCTCAGGGGAGGAATAAGGATGATGATGCTGCTGATGATGATGTTGATGATGATGCTGATGCTGATGCTGATGCTGCTGATGCTGATGATGATGATGGTGGTGGTGGTGATGATGATGATGATGATGATGATGATGATGAAGATGATGATTATGATCATGATGATGATCATGATCATGATGATGATGATGATGATGATGATGATGATGAGGAGGAGGAGGAGGAGGAGGAGGAGGAGGAGGAGGATGCGGAGGCGTCGGCGAAGGAGGCCGATGTGGAAAAGAAGGAGACAGCATGGGTGACGCTCGCTGTACCCTCTATGCCCTCGCAATCTTCGCATGGCGCTTCCCGAAGCGAACGGCCATACTATCCATCCTGACAGGGCTGGAGACGCCGTGTTGAGAACAACGCCCGCCTCCCGTTTGCCCGCCCCCCGACTCTGATGGATGGCCGGGCCAGGCCCCCTCACGCGTCGTCAGTCCTCCGCGACCGCGCAGCGGGGGCCTGGGCCGGCCACCTGTGCCGGGCCCTCAGGGCTGCGCTGCCAAGGCGTGGAGGAGGCGGACCGCCACGCCGTGCGGCACGCGCTGGATCGCCCTGACGGATGGGCGGTGGGCAGCCGCCAGCTCCTCCGCGCTGCTGGCGCCGACGGAGGCCAGGAGCGCGGCGACAGAGGCTTGAGCCGTACCCGTCGCCAGCCCGGCGCACTCGAGGCAGAGGCTGACGGCACCCATGGCCTGAAGCCGCGGAGTGAGCGAGCTGCTGGCCGACTGCCCAGCGGCGATCAGGGCAGCGTAGCACAGGCACTGCTTCCAGAAACATTGCTGGATGGATGGCGGGAGCACCCCTGACATCCCGTCCAGCACACTGAAGCGCTCCTGGAACGCCTCGAGCCATGTGGCCGTGGGCGTGAGCGAGCTGTACGTGTTGAGCAGGCAGAGCTCCATCTTGTGGACGTCCACCGCGGTGACGTCCACCATGAGGTCCCTAGAGGGCCAAGACTGCACAAACTTACGCCACACGTCCAACATATACTGCGTGATAACACCGTTCACCGCGAAGTCGTTGGTACAATTGTCCACTTTCAAAACAGCTCGTGCCGCCGCGATGGTAAGGGCTGGCAGGGTGGTCTCGTTGAGGTCGGTTGGAGATCGCAAAATGTTGATGTCGATCTGCATCAACGCATCGAGCGCGAGCTGCAGCCAACGGCCGGAGCAAGAAACTCCTGGCAGTACCACTGCCAGAAATCTGAACACCAAGACTCTCAACGGCCCCTCGAGCTCCCGCTTGGACCTCGCGCCGAACGGCCACGTCGGACTGCTCTCCTCTAGCCGCCATGCCTCCAAATGGTGCAAGGTGATTTTGCTAGCACGTTCAATAATTTGCTCCCATGCAACCTTTTCCGCCACCATTCTGTCAGCGCTGCTGGTCGATTGGGGCCAATTCGACCGCCAAAACGTTGGTGGATCAGACGGCCAAGTCTTGAATTGCTTGAGCCAAGGCACAAAGGGCACATAACACGAGAAACCAGCATGTCAGCCAGTGCTCCAGGTAGATGTTCTCCCCCAGCGAACCCATGAGCAACAAAAGCTCAGGGACACCTTCGAAAGCTTCCCCAGACAATGCTTGCACGTAGGGGTCCTTGCTTGTTTTCTGAAGCACTGGGCCTGCGGGTCGGTTTGGCGGCTATGTGGCCACCTTTGCCGCCCCGTCGTCGCTGGTCGTTTTCGCCTGGAAATCGGTCTGGCGGCTGTGTGGTCGCCGTCGCCGCCCCGTCGCCGCCTCGTCGCAGCCCGTGGTCTGGGCCTGCCCGTCTGGCGGCTATCTGGTAGCCGTCGCCGCCCCGTCGCCGATTGCACCACGTAGATTGCGCAACAAAAGGATTTTCATGTATAAGAGGGTATTCGGATATTCCCCCTTGAACGTCATACAAATCCGTTGTTTTGTTGATTTTTGTTTGTGTGGGGGGGTCGCACCTGCAAAAACAAAGAGGCAAATGCACACGCGCGCGTCGTCGCGCGCGCATGCTGGAATCCGTCAGTCATCTCAGGTTTCGTGGGGATTTCAAAATCGAATGTCCTGAACACATACAAACAAACAGTGGTTCCGCACAGCATGCGCTCGCAACCTTGCGAACTCGTGAGACATACATCGGGTGTTCAACATGTCATCAGTTGCTTCGAAACGTGCCTCTCGCGCGTGCGTGTCGGAATCGTTCGAACGCCCTTGCGCGCGCTCTGTCGCAACAGTCCCTTGCAACAGTTGGGACGACGTGCGCGCGCGCGACGTCGCGCGCGCGCGCCCGAAACCTTCAAATACCTTGGGTTTCGTAATGCTTCCAAATCGAGTGTCCCAGGAACAATTGTTTTGCAACACCAAGTTTCAAAGGTCTGCGCGCGCGCTCTTGCGACTTGTTACGAACGCCGCGCATTTTCAAATGTCCATCAGATTTGATCAAACGGGACTCTCGCGCCGCATGTCAAAATCATTCGGGCGCCCTTGCGCGCGTGCTGGAGGGCACGACCCCAGTCAAATAATACGTTGAGGGCCACTCGCGCGCGTCGGCCGTGCGCGCATGTCGAACTTCTTCCAAAACCTTCATCACCGACGCGAGGACACCGTCATCGTCATCGGCATGATCAGCATCGGCGCAGTCATTGGCCTTGCCATCGCCATCGTCGCCATCGTGACCACCATCGCTACCACTACCATCGTGTCAACCTTTGTCGGCGTCGCCATGGTGCAGCGCCCGCGCAAATCACCGACTCGCATTGAAGTGCCTGCAGGGAAGCGCCCAGCGGTCAGCGCCACCGCGGCCGCGTGGGTCGCGCCAATTTAGCTGGCCGCTGTGCGCGCGAGCATGCGAAGGCTAGCGCGGCCGCATAGATGCACCAGCCAACACCAAGTTTTCATCGCAATCCCCGCCGCATGAAGGTTGCAAACCAAGTTGCGGGTGGGTGGGTTGGATAACTGCGCGAACAATGAAGTTGTAAACTCTGCGATTTCACACACACACACACGCAGATATGCCGCCACGCATATATTGCACACCATACTGCCCCTCGTCGATTGCACCGCATAGTTTGTGCACCACATATATTGCACCACGCAGCGTATAGTGCACGACGTATTTGGCACAGCATAGAGTGTACGACATAAATTTCCATGGGTATATTGCACAACACGGACTGCTATAAACACACTGTTTGGGGTCCATGCTCGCTCACGCCGAAGCTCGACAGCAGCTGTGTTCCTAGATGTCTTGCGCCGCCGCGTGATCCCCCAGCAACAAAGACCAGGAGGCAACAACAATGCTGTGAGGCTGTCGGCGAGCTGGCCAAATTCCTGCCTGCACCAAACGGTCGACATCCTAAGAGCTCCAGGCAATTCAGACTTCCGATGCCATGCTTTTTCCACTGCTCCAGACATGGACCCCTCGGCCCCTTCCCAGGGACATGTTTGTTGCATCATGTTTTTATTGTTCAGTCCAGGGTCCAGAGCACAGCTCCCAGAAGCCGAGAATGTCGAAATACCGCTGTCATGCCTTTGACAGCGTTGAAGGCCTCGGAAGCAGGGCAGCGGGGCAAACTGGGGGGGCTCTTGTGGCGAGCCAGCTGGGTCCTACAAACCAGCACATGTGCAGTCAAGGAGGGCGGGGCTAGCCAGGACGACTGGTGGCGGCCAGCCAAGCTCTGCCTGCCTTGGCGAATCAGCAACGCGGTTGGTGACCAGTGCTTGTGCTAACCGAGAACTCGCTGGCACAAGGTAGTGGTGGCAGCTGGCATCTCGGCAGGTCCCCGAAGGTTTTTGGAGTTCGACACTACCCAACAAGGGCTGCCAACGTCCAGCAACCCGATCCTCAGTCCTCGAACCGCGATCCTGGCTCCTTGAAGGGTTAGCCGATTGAGGGCTGGCGGCGACCCAGCCAAGACGGGGGAGGCTGCTGTCGGGCCCAGTCAGGCAAGTTCGCGCCGTGACGACATGTGCGTTGCTTCATTACACCGCGGGGATCTCTCAGCCTTGAGCCAGCGTGTCCTTTTGACATCGCTCACCACTGGCTGAACTCAGGCCGCCAGGGGCCTTCGATCTTGAACGGCCGCGCTGGCGTGGCCGCCGTGTCGACACGACTTGAACCATGCGCCTCGGCGCCCAGCACGTCTGGAGCTTCGAGCCGAGTCGCCGCGGGCGCCTCGGCGGATAATCGCGAGCGCCTTGGGAGATCCGTGGGCGGCATCCGCGCCGCGGGCGCCGGGGGGCCCTTCGCCGCCTGGGCGGCCCGGCGCCTGGCGAGGGCGGGGGCTCGGGCCGCCCACGCCGTGTCGTCCGGCGAGGCGGCCCCCCGCAGCCGCGACTCCGCCCGCGGCGGGCGCGTCCTTTCTCTCGTCGCCAGGCGGCGGCGCGCAGCGCGCGCGCGGCGCGGGGGGGGAGGAGGAGAGGGGAGGGTGCCTGCCGAGAGGGGGCCTTCCGCTTCTTGGAGGGCACGCGCTCGATTTCCCTCGAGGAGTGGCGGGGCCCCTCTGGGAGGCTCCCTGGCTTCCTGCGAAGGTCGCCGGGCTCCCCCTGACCATCTGTGTTCGCCGCACAGGGGTGTCCGTCATCACCGAATCGCGAAATCGAATCGTGGAACGTGTCGAATGTGGCTGCATCGGCAAGACAAATCGAACCAGTTCGGCCGCGCCAAGACACACACACACAAAACTACGCGGTGTGAGCACGGCGCCGTATCGGGCCGTCGCGCAACATGTGGCTGGCTCTGGAAAGCCCGAGGACATCGGCGTTGGCCTCTCTTGGGGGGCTGGCCTGCCCCATATCGACACAATTCGATCGAACCGAAACAGGCATTGAGTCCAGGATGCCGCCGTGTCCTGGCAAGGCCCCGGGGCACACAGTCCCGGCTGGCCTCGAGAGGCCTCCGCGGTAGCCCGGGGCGGTCGCAAAGCCCCCGTGCCGCATCCAGTGGCGCCCCTGGTTGCCCGGCGCCCCGGCCAACCAGGACTACCTCCTGGAGGCTGTCTGTGCGCAGCACGCGGCCTTGCCATGTTTTCTCGGCGGCGAGCTTACACACGCACACACACGTATATGTATGTGTATATATATATGTGTGTATGTATGTATGTATGTATGTATGTATGTATGTATGTATATGTATGTATGTAAGTATGTATGTATGAATGTATGTGTGTGTATGTATGTATGTATGTATGGGTGTGCATGTATGTATGTATGTATGTATGTATGTATGTATGTATGTATATATGTGTGTATGTATGTATGTATGTGTATATGTGTGCATGTATGTGTGTATATGTATATGTATATGTATATGTATATGACTATGTATATGTATATGTAAATGTAGATGTATCTGTATATGTATATGTATATGTATATGTACGTAAACGTGTATGTATATGTGTGTATGCATGTGTGTGTGGATGTATGTATGCATGTATGTATCTATGTGGTTATGCCTGTGTGTACGTATGTATGTGTGTATGCATGCATGCATGCACGTATGTATGTATGCATGCGTGCATGTATATATGTGTATGCGTGCATGTATGTGTGTATGTATATGTATATGTATATGTATATGTATATGTATATGTATATGTATATGTATATGTATATAAATGTATATGTATATGTATATGTATGTATGGCTGTAGGTATGTATGTGTGCATGTATGTATGTATGCATGGATGCGTGTATGTATGTATGCATGTATCCATGCATGTCTGTATGTATGTATGTATGGATGTATGCATGTCTGTATGTATGTATATGTGTGTCTATGTATTATGCATTATGTTTGTATTATGTATGTATGTATGTATGTATGGATGTGCGTATATGTATGTATGTATGTGTGTATGTATGTATGTATGTATGTATGTGTGTATGCATGTATATATGGGTGTATGTGTGAGCATGTATATATGTATGTGTGTGCATGCTTGTTGTTATGTATGTATGTATGTTTGTATGTATGTACGTATGTATGTATGTATATGTGTATGGTTGTATTAGTTATGTGTGTATGTACGTATGTATGTATGTATGTATGTGTGTGTACGTATGTGTGTACACATATGAATACAAACATACATGCTACACTGCATGTATGTATGTATGTACGATGCATGATACATACATGATACACACATACATGATACAAGTATGTATGTATACATATGTATACATACATACTTGTATGATACATATGTATGCATGTTTGTGTGATCACGCTATGATGATTGCACTCGCCGAGCCAGGGTGGCACACTGGACCTCACGAGGATCTACCACTTACGCCACCTGGCTTCCCCTCGCGGCAGGGCAGGTCTGGGGCGGGGGATTCTCGGGGGCGAGCGAGGGGGGAAACAGAGAAGGAGGAGGCCTTCGCAGAGGGCGGCGGGGCTTCTCAGAAGCCCCGAGGCCTTTCGAGAGATTCTCTATGCCTTCGGGAGGCCTCGAAAACTTCTCAGAAGGCCCTCTGGCCTTCCGAGCCTTCTGAAAAGGCCCGCCCGACTGACTGACTCGTGGCGGACGGTAGGTTATCCTTGCAGCCACCTTTCCTGCCTCGTCCCACGGCTTAACCTGGTGGGGCGGGGGGGCACATTAAAGGCCCGCCCCCTCTTCCTCCGCCCCCGGGCGCGCCGTCGACTTGCCCATCCACGATCCTCGAGTGAGCAGGGCTGCGGACGTCTGTGGCCCTTGCTGGGCCTCTGGAAGCCTTCGCGGACGCCTTCGCGGGGACCTCCGGGGGCCAGGATCTCGGGCGGGAGCGAGATTTGGCACGGAGCCTTCCTTGACCTTCCAGGAGGGCTGGAACATAGCACCAGGTCCTTGATGTCTAAATTCCAATCGAGGCTTCAGGCAGTCCAGACAGGTCGACAGGTCTTGGGTGCTCTTCTATGGCACTCTGGAAGGTCAGGGTTGCCACTCCTCTTCCTCCTCCTCCTCCTCCTCCCCCTCCTCCTCCTCCTCCTCCTCCTCCTCCTCCTCGTCCATGGTGTGTTCGCCAGCAGCTTCGGCTCGAAGATTCCGTCTGTCACCCGCTCGCCCTGCCAAGTGGCCCTGAAGCGGGGCTCCCGCCGCGCCCGCCGCGCCGCCGTCCGCTGGTCTTGGGATCTTTCCCTCAGAATCGCCCCTCCCCAGACGTCTCCAGGGGTGTGCTCCAGACAGCTCCGCGGCGGACCCAGCCGGGGCGACGAGGGCCGCACGCCAAACTCTCCATCCTCAATCCTCAGTCCGTGTATCCGCGTCCCCAGAGCTCTCGACTCCTTCCCCAGGACGGGCCTCTCGTCTAGAGCCCCTCTTTTCTTGAGGCCCCAGACCCGAAACGCACCCTGCGCGGCCCAGAGCGAGGAGAAAAGTCAGCCGTCTCGAGGGCTTCCGAGCCGGAGCAGATCTCGATCTCGGCCTCCGGGGGTCTCCCGCCGTGTCCGCTGCCGCGGCCCGCTGGCCGGCCCGCCGCCCCAGGGTATCCCCACACTTCTTCGGGCCTCCCGGGGGGCCACCCCGAGGTTCCGCGCATGGGGGCCGTTGGGGGCCACACAGGGCGGCCTCCTTGGAGGTCCTCCTGGGGGCCATCGCTGGGCCATCCTTGATGGGGCCCAGGGACACACAAATAAATACACACAGATCCTAGGATTTCCCACATCTTTCAATATTTGTTGGACTTTCGTCCTCCCCCCACTTCCCATATTTCCCGATATTGTCCAAGGAATCGACAATGAATTGTGTCTCTGTGTGTTTTTCTCCTGTCGGTCCTCGGGGTCTTGGGGCCTTGAGGGGCCGCCTTCGGCGGCCAGGCATCCGACAAGTCGGGCTCGCGTTAGGTCGGGCACGTCCCCCACAGGCGGATTGTGGACGACAAATGAAACATACTCCAAACATATTCCTTTATGGCCAAACATAAATAATAAAAAAATCGCCCCCAGACAGACCGACTTAAGGCTCGCGACGCGCCCGCCCCGCCGCCGCCGCGCCGCCAGAAGGGCGCCTCTTCCGGCGCTCCTCCGCGCGCCTCTGCCTCTCCGCCGGGGGCAGCAGCACGGCCTCGGCCTCGGCTGGGGCGGCGTGCGGTGGTCGCCCTGGTCGCCACGCCCCTCCTCCTCCTCCTCCTCCCTTCCTCCTCCTCCTCCTATTTCACTGCCGAACCCTGTACCGATCCAGCTCTTACCAACAGGTATGCTCTCTTTTCAGGTGCAGCTGAGGAGCTGCACAAGTCCAAGCTTGTTGGCGTGCGCGACATCGCGCACCACCGCGGCTGTTCTCCAGGCCTGACGATGAGACCTGCCATGCCACCAGCCAAACAAAGCGGACAGCATGGAGGCACGCATAAGCTAGCCTTTTGGAAATGTATGGTTGCACGGCTTCAGGACCTTTATGGGCTCCGTATCGGGAAGGAGAGCCCAGGGAAGACTGCAAAACGTCAACAAGTTGGGAAGCTCATTCAGGCCAAACTCGGGAGTATCCAGGAGCATCTTGTCCCCATGGGGTCTCAGGAGGACCTCATCCAGATCACCTCAGACATCCAGGACATCCATATGCAGGCCCAGCAGATACCCCAACTGTCCCAGAACGGCATTCAAGACTTGGCCAAGAAGTGTAAAGCTATCCGAGACCGTGCTGATCGTGAAGTTGATCGGGATAAACAAGCTGGGTTCCAGGAGTGGCTTTCCCAGAGTCTCCGAGGGGGGGCCAAGTGGGCTCATCGACATACCACTACGTGGGGCCACCCAGAGGCCATACCAGCCCAAGAGCTAGACACGGAAGGGGACCCACTATGGGACCCCTCGGAGGCTCTGAAGATCAAGCAGACTCGGTGGCAGGCACTCTGGAAGGACCCTGGAGGCCAAGGGCACCCTACTACGCAAAGCTGGTGGCGAGTTTTTCGGCAGGAAGCACAGGCCCAGGTACCTGAACTGTCTGAACTTCGAGCCCCACAGGTCTTGGCAGCGTGCCAGGCTTTCCCGAGATCTATGGGCATGGGGGCCGACCAGTGGAAACCCCAAGCTCTGGGCCGGCCTACCAGAGGAGGCGCATGATGAATTAGTCGGTCTCTTGCAGGACATCGAGCGCACGTGCGCGTGGCCAGAGCAGATCCTTTTGAATGAAGTTGGCATGCATCCAAAACCCACAGGACAAGGGGACCGACCCATTACACGGACCCAAGGATTGTACCGCACTTGGTCCCGACTCAGAAAAGAAGCTGTTACCACCTGGGAGAAACAGAAAGCGGGATTCTGGGATGCAGCCGTACGAGGTTCTGACCCTTTGAAGGCGGCCCTGCTCAGGCACGCCAAGGCCGAAGCCGCGAGCTGGATCTCGGTCGACTGGGCCGTCCTGCTCCTAGATGCGGAAAAGTTTTTCGACACGCTCAGCCCTTTCTGGATATATACACTAGGCAAAGCACTCGAATACCCATTACACACCATGTACATGGGCATGTGCGTGCACACCGCAGATAGGGTCCTCATCTTAGGGCGGGATGCCTCGGACTTTATCTCGGTCGAGCGCTCCATCCTCCAGGGGTGCATGCAGAGTGTGAGCTGGACGCATGCGTACTTACATGACATGCTCGACGCGGCGCATGCACGATACAGGCCCATGGAGATCAGCACCTGGGTCGACGATATTTCCCTGTCCTCCAGAGGTCCCAAGGCCATCGTGCATCGGCTCACCACCCAGGGCGCCATCAACTTGGTACACCACCTGGGAGCCCGAGGTCTCCGTCTCTCAGGGAAGTCCCAGCTCCTCGGTAGCAATAAGGCCCTGGTCCAAGGGATTCACAAGGCCCTCCAGAAGGCTGACATCCATATCCAGCTGACTACCAAGACGAGAGACCTCGGACTTGATTTTGCTTCAGGACGGCGATATACGAAGGTTGCCAAAGTTAGATTGAAGAAGGCCTTCGCCAGGGCCGAGCGGGTCAAGAAGCTCCTGAAAGCCAACAGCCAAGCCAGCAAGCTCAACCTCACGGGGGTTAAGCCACAAGCTTCCTGGGGAATGATGGCCCAAGGGGCCTCGCCTACGGCGCTGAAGCAGCTTCGGTCCAAGATGGCCGCACTCACGGGGAAGCAGAGAGCTGGTGGCTGTGCGACAGTAGCTATCCGACTTGGCCCTGGAAAGAAAGGCGACCCTCTATTCTTTGCGCGGCACGACATGGTCAAGACATGGCTGCACATTATCCCTGCTCTCATGCGCGAGCGAGTTGCTTTCCAAGCCGCCTGGACCAAGTGCGTCGAGGCCATGCGCGCTGCAGTACGCCCGTGGGGCAAGGTCCGAGGTCCCATAGCTGCTCTGGTGACCACGTTGCTTCAGAGTGGGTGGGGCCCCCAGCTCCCCTGGCAGTGGAAGGACCCCTATGGAGATACCTACTACTTGGTCCCCGACGAGGCCCCACCTGATAGAGCCCAGTTCTACTTGGAGGCGGTCTCGGGGTCTAAACCAGGGTGGCAGCAGTGTGTACTGGCCGAGGTTGAGGGCACTTTCGAGAAGCAGATTTGGCGAGATTCTGCAGCCCAGCACTTTTGTGGGAAGGGCCTCGAGCATGGGGCAGATCTTACAGTTGTCATGAAGCTTATCCGTGCCCATCGGCGTGCGCAGCGTCATGGGCACGCTGCTTTGCTCGAACGTATCGCTACAGGCGCACTGTGGCCAGGTGATCGTCGCCACCCTGCCGAGCCCGATCGACAAAAATGCCCTCGATGCGCTGCAGCACGCCACTATCCGCTCCCCATCGAGGATATCTTACACCAGCAGTGGTTGTGCCCATGTCTGGCGCCCACGGGGCATACGGCTTTTGACCTCCTACCCCAGATCCAAGGTGAACACGAGGAGTGGCCCTGTTTCTGGCATCGTGGAAGTGTTCCGACTCTCTGGATTTACCCACACATCGACCAGTTCCCCGAATGGAAATTTGAATGTTCAGGAGGTTTTGCTCAGGACCAGCGGATGGAGCTCCCCCCAGATGCCTATGTGGGTACCGGCGGCAGTGGCGGCGACTTCACCAGTGACCTGAGGCTCCGAATGTGTGGCTGGGGATTTGCTGTGTGGGCCCAGGGGGCCATCCTCGGGGAAGCCTGGGGCCCGCTCCTCGGAAGGCACCAGACGGTGCCCCTCGCTGAACTTGAAGGCCTCACGCAGGCCCTGAAGCATACGGCTGGCCCAGCCACTTTTGTTGTAGACTGTGCCTATCTTTTGAAAGCCATCCACCAGGGCCCTGGCCAGGTGCAGCCTTTGCACGCGGCTGCCTGGGCCCGTTTTTGGCATGAGTTTTACTCCAGGCCAGGGAGTGCCCAGTTTCAGAAAATTAAGAGTCACCTCGCGGAGGCTGACATAGGCAGGCAAGTTTCCGAAGCTGAATTCAGGTGTATTGAGGCGGCTGACGAGGCGGCGAAGAGAGGAGCTGCCCTCGCCCAGTTGCCCCCTGCCTTCCTCGCCGAGGTTGCTCGAATCGACTCCCTGGCCAAAAAGGTCCTGGAACATTTGCTCGAAGTAGGAATGGTTGAGGTCCTGGCCAGACAGGCTGACGCCAAGGCCCCAGGAGCCCCGACCCCAGCAGACCTGGTTGCAGCCCATAGGGCGCGACGAGATGAGCGAATTGCAGCTCGAATGGACGCCCGCCAAACTACCGCCCACCAGGTGGTTCCAAGGCGAGGCTCCTCGTTCTGTACTGTATGCCTGACGGCACCGACCCGCCAGCTTCCCACCAATGAGTGGCGAGCTGCCCCGTGTCGAGGCCTTCCCCATCAGATTCACAGCTCGCACAGAATTCGGTGCCTGCGCGGGCTGTGGTGGTGTGAGGTGTGCGGTGGTTCGGGGCACACTCGCTTCAATATTCTGGGGAAGGCCTGCCAGCGCCCGACAGGAGCTGGCAAGAAAGCTTTGGATAAGCTCGCCAGAGGACTGCTCCCACCCAATCGGGAAGCCTGGCCAGACGAGTCTAGGCCCAGTCCAGGGTGAGCTTTCCTGCCCCTTTTCCCTCTTTAAGGGCCCTGGCATCGGTACCAGACTCTGGCCCCCGTGTAGTCGTTCCGAGGGGGAGGGGGAGGGGGAGGAGGAGGAGGAGGAGAAGGAGGAGGAGGAGAAGGAGGAGGAGGAGGAGGAGGAGGACGGGTCGCCTAAGCCCTTCGGAGAAACCCTCCACTGCGAGGAGCACTCTCCTTGAACGTCGGGCGCCTCCGCGGGCCTGCCGTGCAGGCGAGAGCCCCGTGGTGAGAAGGGACCTGCCCCGAGGAACGCGCTATGACAAGACAGCGGAAGAGAGTGTCGAAGCGAAGGCCCCGTTGTGAAGAAAGGCCGCCCGCCATCCTTGCAGCAATGCCGCGGTGCGAAGCGCCAGGTCGTACAGCTTGAGGACGTCACGAGCGAGCGCGCCGTTTTGAACATCGGCCGCCCTCCTCGATGTTTGTTCGCGCTTCTGCCCATGGAGCCGTGCTTTTGAAGACATCTCAAGCATTCTGAAATAAATCACCCTTCATCCATGTAGATTTGTTTGCACACTTTTCAATAAACATGGTCGTGCACTTTGAGCAGATCTGGAGCGAGAGACAATTGACAGCCATACATTTCTGTGACTAACATACGCTTAAGAAACGGGGGTGTGCGGCGCTAAGGCGAGCGACCCATTTTGAAAAGGAGCTGCCCTCCATTCTGTTGACAGTTGGACGCTGTAAGGCGAATGCAAGCCGCGCGCTGGCGAGAGACAAATTCTAAAACCGACGCGCCCTCCATCTTTGTATTGCTGGAAACTTTTACGGCGAATGCGCGCTAAGGCGGAAACCACACGTTGAGAACGACCCACCCGCAACCCGTGTAGCTCTTGGGAACGCTGAAAATCACGAGCGGGGAGGAAACCTTCAGCAAAAGACCTCCCTGTTGGCCCGCGGAAGATAGCACAGAGCGGCCAGGAGTGTGGCCAAGCGGCCCTGCGAGAGCCCCAGGCGACCCCGGACACCCACCAGAAGCCCGAAGACGCCCCACATAGCATGGCATCCCCAAGAGGCCCTCCAAACGCAAGAAGCATTGATTTCCCCGGGGTTGGGTGTGATTTTCGG